TCGTCTTTGACCGAACGAATGAGACGGAGTTGTTTGTTATATTGTATGTACTCGTATTCTTCATTTATGGCTTCATGAACGATAGCAGTTGTTGTGTTCTCTGTTGTTGTCATATCTGTCTTTATATTCCGGATAAAAAAAAATATTTTATAAAAAACTAGCGTTATTTCCTGACTTTCACAAAAGACCAAAAATAAACGCTTTACATGTATTTTTCAGCAACTTCGTCAAATAATTTTATAGCTTTACCTATCTCATCTACTTCAAACGTTTCTTTACCTTTCGTGGGAGCACCATACAATTTCTCAAACTTTTCAAGCAGTTCTGTTTCAGCAGCTCTCATATCGTTAACGAACACAACCCTGACTCTATTGACTGTACTGTCATATCTTTGAGTTATATTATATGTTCTTCCTATCTTATATCTCTTTGTATTGAAGTCCTTCGGTTTCTGAACGATGTAAAGTAAGCCTTCACTGCAACGTTCCGTATCGAATGAACCATATGTTATGAAGTTATATCCAACAACTGGGTCTAACCATAACAAAACTATTGGTATAAGACTTTTGTCTATAAGATATGCTGTAGTTCCATAGAATCTTACCGATATCATAAGCTCAGGATTTCTTGTCAAAATTTTCTGAGTAGAAGCAATTCTAACCCAGTCGTGTGGTTTCTTTCCAGATGGAGATATAATGTCTGACAAAGAATATTTCTTGTATTTCTTTGAGTATCTTACGTTTAAATCACCTATTCTAACCATTTTGGTGTCATTGTCTATCTTTCTAACTGTTTCAAACTCAGTGTTTAACATATATGTATTTACATACAAAATAAAAAAAATATTTTATAAAAAACTAACTTTATTTTTTCTATCTTGTATAAAAGATATGATTTCAGGGATTTTTTTGACGAAGTGTCAAAGTTCTCTTCGTAAAAAAATAACAGTTATATAATGAAATTTGGTCATTTTTTTACGATTTCAGGGATTTTTTTGACGAAGTGTCAAAGTTCTCTTCGTAAAAAATAACAGTTATATAATGAAATTTGGTCATTTTTTTACGATTTCAGGGATTTTTTTGACGAAGTGTCAAAGTTCTCTTCGTAAAAAAATAACAGTTATATAATGAAATTTGGTCATTTTTTTACGATTTTCATGAGTTTTAGGCGACCAGGTTTTTGTACGTACTCGCAATTTTTTACGATTTTCGTACGGAATCTCTACCCTCGGTTTTCCTCGGGTAGCAAACATATGAGGAAATTCATGAAATTTGGTCATTTTTTTTACGATTTTCATGAGTTTTATGCTAGACCGAAAAAAGTCGGTCTAGAGAAATTTCACTCAAAAGTTCTTGTGTGCTTTGGTTTTTGAACCAATGTCTGTATGTTTGGTTTCTGAACGATGTAAAGTAAGCCTTCACTGCAACTGCATTTACTAATAGTCTATGTACATACCAACCTCTTAAATTTATTGGCAATTTTTTACGATTTTCGTACGGAATCTCTATCCTCGGTTTTCCTCGGGTAGCAAACATATGAGGAAATTCATGAAATTTGGTCATTTTTTTCAGCAAAAATATATTTTAGGGTAGATGGTTAGATCTCACCTCTTTTCTCACCTCTTTTCTACCCCAGTTATTTTCATGAGGGTCACCAGGTCACTCGGTCACTCGGTCAACTAACATCTTTTTGAAAATGGTGACAACATGACATTTTGACAACAGTCCAGGAAATAAACTTCATCGTATATGTTTTGTCATGATTTCATCGTAATGAGCGTAAATCAGACAAAAATATATTTTATGTTAGCATGTTAGATCTAACACGTTTTCTAACCACTTTTCTCACCTCTTTTCTCACCTCTTGAATTTTGTATAAAAGATATGATTTCAGGGATTTTTTTGACGAAGTGTCAAAGTTCTCTTCGTCACTCATAACAGTTATATAATGAAATTTGGTCATTTTTTTCAGCAAAAATATATTTTATGTTAGCATGTTAGATCTAACACGTTTTCTAACCTCCTTTCTAACATAACTATTTACAAGCGTTTTACATGGTATGTGTTCCATATGTCATTTTACTCAGAATTTTATACAGAATTCAATAAAAATATATTTTATGTTAGCATGTTAGATCTAACACGTTTTCTAACACGTTTTCTAACATAACTATTTACAAGCGTTTTACATGGTATATGTTGCGATGGTTCATGACTTTAAACAGTTTTGTAGCTTCTATTTCTTCACGAAGGATATCAAAAGTTTTCACAATATTGAATGTATCTTTATATTTCTTCTTGACGTCAGATAGAAGGAAATCGTCAGCAGTTGGATAGTTTTTGTTTAGAAATGCCAATATGTCCATTTTATCTTCTGCTGGTTTCTCTACTTCTTTCTTTAAGTCAGCATAGTCGTTTCGCATACGTTCTATCTCTTTGACGGAGTAGTTATATTTCCTCATTGCTGCTTTACATTTTGAACATTGTGGGTTCATTTTAGCATTGTACATTGAAATTTGACCTGCAAGTACAACTATAGCGTCAATGGTTTTCTTTAACTCAAAAGTTGCTGGTTTTATTTGTTCGTTCCATACTTTACCTCTTCTATCTTTATCTCTTATCTGCCATACACATTTTGCAACTAACGAAACAAAGTTGTCGTAGGTCTTAAATTCTTCAGATTTATATATGTCAGAGATGTTCTTATATACCATGTCGCAGTCTTTGTCCATGACTTTGTGGTTGCAATGAAATCCAAGAAACTCATAGTTAACCTTACGTATGAACTTCTTTATTTCTACCGAGTCAGTTGCTTTGACTTCTATTTCTTCAAATTCAGGAATAGTGAGCTTTTGTTGTTGTATTTCAGGAAGTTTAGGTAGATGGTCAATAATATCCTGCATTTCATAAAGATATTCTTCATTTTCTTCATCTTTCGCACTACAGTCTAAATCTCCTTGGAGAAGTTCTTGCTTTATCTTCTGGATTTCTGTTTCGAAAGTATATGAAGAAGGAATGAAGCTTTTCATCTCTACTAACATAGATGTTGGGTTCATGACTAAAGAGTTTGGTGAAGTTGTTGCTAACATGTTCTTACAATAAAAATAAAAAATATTTTTTTAAAAATACTACCTTTATTTTTTATGTTTTTTGTGAAAGTGTCAAAACTCATGAATTTCGAGAGTTTTCTACGATGGTAGAAATGAGGTTAGAAATGAGGTTAGAAAACGTGTTAGATCTAACATGCTAACATAAAATATATTTTTATTTTTTCTATCTTAAGGAAACACACAAAACTCATGAATTTTGGTTGAAAAATTAGGTGGAGCCAAAACTGGCTCGACCTCAAAACAAGCATTTTGTGAAGAATATAGCAACCGGAAGAAAACCGGCGGTTGGTTTTTATACAAAATTCAAGAGGGTGAAAAAAAATGTTAGAAAACGTGTTAGATCTAACATGCTACCCTAAAATATATTTTTGGTTCATTTACACTCGTTACGATGAAGAAGTCTTGACATTTTCCCGACTGTTGTCAAAATGTCATGTTGTCTCATTTTTTCAGAGAAGTTAAATTACCTGGTAGCACATGGTAACATGGTAGCACCTTCAGTAAACATCTCATTTTAACTCACTTTTTTTCTATCTTAAGGAATTTCATGAGTTTTCTACGATGTTAGAAAAAATGTTAGAAAACGTGTTAGATCTAACATGCTACCCTAAAATATATTTTTTGGGCTATGTCCCACCGCTTTGCGTCTTTAGGTCAAAAATAAATTGTTTTCATGAGTTTTCTACGATGTTAGAAAAAATGTTAGAAAACGTGTTAGATCTAACATGCTACCCTAAAATATATTTTTGGTTCATTTACACTCGTTACGATGAAGAAGTCTTGACATTTTCCCGACTGTTGTCAAAATGTCATGTTGTCTCATTTTTTCAGAGAAGTTAAATTACCTGGTAGCACATGGTAACATGGTAGCACCTTCAGTAAACATCTCATTTTAACTCACTTTATTTTTTATTTCGGGAAAATTCATGAAAATTCAACGGGTGAAAAAACAGGTGAGATCTAACATGCTAACATAAACTCACTTTTTCAGCACTTTTCCGTAGTTGTATATGAAAGACAATTCGAGATAAAAGTCATAGTACAATGGTATTATATGTTGCACACCATTTGTTGTGAACCAAACTTGAAAGTCAGAGAAACTGTTACTAGGTGGTTCGTAGAATTTAGAAGCAAAGTCATAAAAGTCCTTACCGATACATAGAAAACTATTGTTGCTTGAACTGAAACTTGCATGGCACATAACATTTTGAGGGTCAAACACGTTTCTATAAACTGTCAAATCTGCTGGTGGAAGTATAAATTTAAATGGACCATCTGGTGGTAATGGTTCGTTCTGGTTTAGTAACCGAAGAAATTGTGCCCAAGAACGTTTGTCTACTTTCCAAAATAAAAACTCTGTATCTCTTGGAGGGTTAATTTCAATCTTTTGAAATGAAACGGTGGAGTTCATCTTGTCATATTCTAGTTTCAGATAGTATGTTCCATTTAGTAAAGAGTCGTATTTTTCTTGAAATTCCCAATAGTATTTGTTCATTTGAGTTTGAAAGTCATTTAGAGTTTTCTCAAGACTTTCGTCTGAACGAACTGTAAAGATTCTCATTTCATCAAATTTGTCTATTAGACCATCAGAACCTTTATACTGCCCATGAAAATATACTGCGAACATAAACGCGTTAGTTCTATTTGAAAACAAAACTCTTCTAAATCCTATTGCCTTTGCATCTGAAGGACTTTGAAGCCAACGAACTGGATAGTCAAACCTGTATGCTCGGGATGAAATTTCTTCATCTGAAATAGTCCTACCAGCATTTGTAAAGATATAGTCTAACGGTTTTGTATCTGCTACTTTTGTTCTTTGTTTTTCAACCTGAAGCATTTAATATATGTAAAAATATATGGTTTAAAAAACGTTTTTACTTCATGCAATTTTTTACTTCATGCAATGTTTTATTTCTGTGCCGTCTTCAAGTATGCCCCAGTACTTACGCTTGGAGAGGACATGAACTTCTGAAAATACCTTATCTAGCTTAAAACAGCCCATCTTTTCACCGACCATTCCCATTTCAATGAGTTTGTTGTATCCTTCTTCGTTCGTCATGAGTGCGTCAATGTTCTCATAGTAAACCTTCACTTTGGATTTGACTTCCGAGAAGAATTTGTTGTAGTTGTCAAGTACTGCCTTTGCGAACTGAGGGTAAGACCAATGTTCGACAATAGATTTTAATGTGGTTACTAAGCCATTTTGACCTTGAGTGAACTCGTACTTCAAAACAAAAGGAGAAAACCTTTCAACAAAGTTGTCGACCTTCTCATAATGTTTACTCTTCATCTTTTGAGGTTTCTTAATGGAATATCCCCATGTTGAATTCATAAGCAATTTGAGTGTCATTGCAAGTTTGGGGTTTGAAGCTTTCCTAATATCATACAGTTGTTGTATGACTTTTCCAACTGTATAGTTCCTTCCCGGGAACTCACCATCTTCGTTTGGAATTCCAGTCGGAATATATTGGACAAACCTCATGTACGCAGCGTTAAGGTCGACATAGTATATCTTTTCATCTGAGTCGAACTTGTCGCAACCAATTGGTCCAGTTTGTGGAAATTCAAGTGAGTCTCTTATCTTCTGAGAAACTTCTCCTGTTATCTCATAAACATCGTCGAAGCAACCTGTTTCATATAAAACCTTCTGACCTAACTCAGATGCTCTCCAATACAATTTGACGTCAATTGGATGTCTCAATGGAAGTTTGTTTATAGCATCTTGAAGTTCTTGCAACCTCATTGGAAGTTCTTCTGGTTCAGGTTGGTATCCGAACAATCCAACTCCTTGTGGAATTGTGTACTTCTTTTGTACTAGAACTTTGTCTGGAACAACTTTTGGTCTTGCTAACAATGAAAAGTTTGTTTCGTCTTTTGGTACAAAAGTTTCTGTCAGCTTGTCATCTGGAATTGGTTCCAACAAACCTTTCTCGAAAAGAATGTTTACAGCTCTGACAATGTTGCACTTGCCTTTTCCGAACAATGGGTTTGTAAGACTTTCGTTCAACATGAAGTGGTTGTGGACAATTACAATCTTCAACCATGGCAATTTGAAGTCAACAACATAGTCGTCATGTGAAGAACCTTTAGCTGTAGGTATGTTGACTCGGATATTGACATTTGCCAACGGTGCAATTTTTGCCAATTGACCTCTGAGAATGTACCTTGTCTTCACACATGACTCAAGATACTTCATTTTCTCATCTGTAACAAGACCAGAGTTCCTGAGACATGTAAGAATACAAGGTTCATTGACAATTGTTTCAATTGAATTGTAAATTCCATACCTTGTCAAGTCAATGTCAGACTTATTTATGAACGGGAAGTATCCAGCATGTTGTCTGACTGCTTGAGGGTTAGGTTGGTACCATTCGAACTTGACACTTGCAATTCCTTCAATTGCATTCAAAATGTCTGAGTCGGAGTCAACCATTTGTTCTCTCTTTGTAGTCTTGAAAGCGTCAAGAAGCATTGCAGCTGTTGTGACATTGCCATATGCATAGTAAATGTGACCATCCAAATCTGTTATGGTCAATCTGAGATTGTGTCCTTTCTTATTTCCGTCTTGTATGGCAGCAAGTACACCCATGAAGCCTTCTTTGTTCTTTCCTTCGTCAAAGTTTACTGTAAAGGTTCGACCAGAAGTAATTTGACTTCTAACTTCACGGTACTTCTCATATGCATATCTTGTTCTTTCCATGGGAGCATGTGTGTCTTCACCTTTTCCTTTTTTCCTTCTCAAAGGATGCAATTGTTCGTCATGTTTCCAGTAGAATCTGGCAAAGCCGTCGTGTCCTTCAACTTGAGGTTCACTAACATCGAAAGGCATGTCCATAAGACGTTCTTCTTCTAACCTCTCTAGTCTGTTTGGATAATTGGCACGTGCTGTTTCCAAATCCATTTCGTAGCGAAGACCAGACAATTTGTCATAGACTTTTATGGGTCTTCCCTTCCTATATTTAAACTTCTTCGAAACTCTCCAACCATAACTTTGCAACTCTGCTTTTATTCTAGCAGATTTTCTATCCATTCTATATGGGGGCATTTTTATAAAATAAAAAAATATTTTTTTTCTCTTTACTTTACATAACCGCCTGCTGCCATAAGTCTTTGACGCCAACCCATACCAGCTAATGAAGGTTGACTTGGTTTAGTTTGGAAACTAAACTTTGGTTTTGGTTTATCTTCAGTTTTTGGTTTTTCTTCTTCTATCGGTTTTTCGTCACTTTTCGGTTTCTCTGACTTTACTTCACTTGCAGGAACAGTTGTGTCGTCAACATCTTCATAAATATCATATGCCATTTGTTTTTGTTTTCCTTTCGACTTTTTGTGTTTGTTGTAAAGTTTAGAATATTTCGACTCTAAGTCAATGAGATGTTCTATAATGAACTGTTGGTCAGTGAAGTAAACTTTTCCATCTGTTGTCTCGAAAGCTCCTTCAGACTTCAATATTTTATTTGTGAGAGTCTGTTTCTTTTTTGAGATACTAGCCGTTCCATTTTTATGAAAAGTGACTTTATAGTTAGGGTTTGTATTTCCAGACCTGGCACTTTCTATTATTGAATTTTTCTCTTCATCTGTAAGTTCTTTGACAGGTTTTGACAATGGTTCTGAACTTTTTGTTTGTGGTGTCAAATCTACCGTTTCAACTTCTTCGGTCATTTCATCTCAGTAAAAAATTTTAGTTTGGTTTGTTTTCAACTGGTTGTTAGGTTTTTTAAGTCGGTCTAAAACTTCCTGAGGTATAGGAAGAACTTGACAAACACGTTGTGTAACTGCTGGAAGTCGACAAATCCATCTTGAACCCATTTGTCTCAATGCTGTATTGTTCATTTCATCTCAGTAAAAAACTTTACATTCCCACGTTTGAGGCGGTTGAGGTTGGTTATTGTTTACCCATTGTTGTGCATTGTTATATCCTCTGTTAAAGAATCTTTCACCTTGGTCCATATAGTGTCCTGCTTGGTTATAGTAGTCATTTGCTTTGTTATAATAGTTTCCTGCTTGTCTTCCTACATTGTCCATCCATCCTTGAACTTTTCCTCTTGTTTCAGGATTTGGAATAAGATTTGTTGCATCTCGTGCTACATCCCAACCTTTCTGTACAGTTTGTATAATAGGTTGTGCTTTCTCTTTAAGTATACCTAATGTACTCAAAATCTTCCTTCCAACTCCAAATACACCTCTGGCTATTGTTCCCACTGCGGGTAAAAATCTAGATGCGACTCCTGCTAATGCGCCAAATAAACCCATTTCTTATGGGTTAAAAAATGACGAATCCAAACAAGGACCCCTATGTTTCTAAAGCGACAAAGAAAGCACTCATGATAAAAATCTTTAGTTCAACACCAAATGCTTGGTTTATGGATATCTTGGAAAACATTCCGAGAGTTAGAACAGATGGACCACCATACTGGTTAATATTTGTTGGTCAAAACACAAGATACTGTGAAGCCATACCATTACAGTCCAAAAATATTTTAGATGTGAAAACTGCTTTGACAATATTCGTTGACAAATACCATCCAACAAAACTGACATCTGACTGTGAAAGTTCTTTCAAATCAGACGATATTAAAAACTATCTGCGTTCAAAAAATGTAAACCAATATTTCATTGTCGACCAAAACCATTCTGCTCTTGGTGTCATTGACGGTTGTATAAAAATGTTAAGAGACTTAAACCAACCACAAGGTGGTGAAGCAAATGAAATGTCATATGACGACAAGTATAGACACTTCTCCAAACTCACCTACGTTTCCATAAGAAACAGCAGTTGTATATTCGTAAGTTCCAGGAACTATTTCTGACCTTCTAATGGCATTGTCGCATTCGTTATACCATTCGGAAACATTTCCATTCATGGCATCCAAAACTGTTGGCGTTATATTCTGAGCGGCGTACATTTCATATGGGTAAAAATATAGAATAGTTGGATTTATATATCATAATAGAACCACTCGGACCAAGCTTTACTTTCTTCCTGACTGAGTTTTTAACTCTTCTTTTTCCTTCATTGCCACTACTTTCACTAGATGAAGTTACTTCTTCACTACTTTCACTTTGTTCTACTCTTCTCTTCTTCTTTGGTGTCGCTTTTGGTAACTTGCCCTCTGCTTCAAGTTGTTGCATCTTTGCCTCATGTTCACCTAGTATGTTGTAAATTTCCCATGTCCTTTTTGCCTTTGGGCTCTGGTCGCCCATCTCAGGTAACCTATATGAAACAATAAGAATTACCGAAAAAGTGACAAAACATCAAAAACAGGGAGGGGGTCTCAATTTTTATTACTTATATTATTTTACAATATTTATATAAATACTCTTTATAATATATTTTACTATAAAATTATACCTCAAATTCAAATATTTAAAATATTATTTACATAATTATCTCAAAATTATATTTTTATATATTATTTTTCATATGTATAAATCATATAATCTATATCTATGCAAATCTCATCTAAAATTTTTTGAAACAAACCGCTACCATTTTATAATGGTCCATCTTAAATTCATCATAAATTCTGGTACATGTTAGTACCAGAGTCTTCAAATCTCAAACACTCTGGTACCAACATGTACCAGACGCGAGTTTCCAATGCCCTCGTACGATTTTCTATTAAGATCTTCTTGAATGAGAAGGTCTTCATAGAAACTCGTACGAGGGCTTCTCTTTTAAATACTCTGGTACCTGCTGGTATCGGAGTCGACTTTACAGCCCTTTCCCCAATTTTGAAGCTGGGGAAAGTTTTCAAGCAATGAAAGGGAAGCTCTCGCTATGAGGTGAAAATCTAGAATTTTTACCTCATAGCGAGTAATCCTTTGTTAATTGCTTGAAAACTTTCTTCAAATTATCAAAATTTCGAGGAAAGTTTCCTTGCTTCAAAGTAGAGATGGAGCCCTTTGAGCCACTGCATATAGGTCAGTGACTCAAAATACTCCATCTCTACTAGAAATCGCCAAAATTTGGGTCGCAATCTTTGAAATGCGACGCAAGTTTTGGCAATTTCGCGAGGACTTGCTCCATTTGGTGCATAGATTCACACTCTATGCACCAGATGGAACAATTCTTTCGCTGACAGCGGGAAACTTTGTCTGAATAGTTTAACATTCAGACAAAGTTTTCCGCTGTCAGAGAGGGAATGGAAGGGTAAGAGGTATATATTCATAATGTATACCTCTTACTCTTCCATTCCCTCAAGAAAGTTCAAAAACTTGGGTGCAATCAGTTCTGATTGCACCCAAGTTTTTGAACTTTATATAAGGAATTGTTGGCTATGATGTACTGATCATGAATCAGTACATCATAGCCAACAATTCCTTCGCAAACAGTGGGAAACTTTGTCTGAATAGTTTAACATTCAGACAAAATTTCCCGCTGTCAGGGAGGGAATTAGAGGGTGGGAGATATATAGATAGACTATAAATCTCTCACCCTTTAATTCCCTCAAGAAAGTTCAAAAACTTGGGTGCAATCAGAACTGATTGCACCCAAGTTTTTGAATTTTGTATAAGGAATTGTTGGCTATGATGTGGATAGCCGCTGCCAGACCAAATGAATTAACCGTTGTGAATAACGTTTCTGAATCTTTATTTAAAAAGATAAAATATCACGATTTTGGCTGCGTTAAAAATCAAAGAATTGATGTTTTTGTCAAAAATCTTTTAGAAGAAGTTGCACCCAATTACTTTTATCGTATTAAAAACGATTTACTTCAAACAGGTTTTATTCCTTCAATTAGAATTCGCGAGCCTCGATTGACAGATTATAAAACAAAATTGAAAAGAGAAGTTCAATCACGTTTATACCAAGTATTAAATTTTGTTCAGAATCAAGAAGCCAATTTGAATCCATTAAGATTTTTATTGGAAAATGCTGAAGAAAAACTTTCTCAAATAAATGAGAAGATACAAAATTCAATTACATATTTAAGATCGTTTGAAATTCCAAATGAATTGTTAGATACGTATATGTTAGAAATTAATGAATTTTGTTATAATTCTCCAGATTATATTTTAGAACATTTCGAAGAATTTTTAGAGGATTTCAAAGAAAAGAATAATTTAATAGACTAAAAAATTTATTATTTTTATTTATTGTGAATTTTAAATTGTCACTTTTTAAGTGTTACTCCCTATTGAAAGTGTCACTTTTTTGGGTGTCACTTTTTCGGAAATTCTTATATACTCTAACCTATATCCTAGAAAGATTTTGTCATAGTTTGTATTTGAGTCTTCGCGTATTGTTTGCATGACTCTTTCCTGAGTTTCCGGTTCAAGCTCTTCAAATATAGCTTGTCCATATGGAATAAGCTCGTTTCCAAATATATGTTTTTGTAGCCATTCTGGTTTTCTTTCCATGTAACCAATAATATCTTTTGTGAATGGGAAAGCTTTTACCCAACGTTTCAGGCTTGCGTCATTTATTTCTGTAGTTGGTTTTATTTTGTCAAGGAACATGTTTTTCAATACTAACATTTCATTTGGTACTGTCCATTTGAGTTTTCTTAAATATTCATCCCTTCTCGGTTCATTGTCTGCAAAGTAAGTTTTTATGACATTTTGTAAACTTTCGTTTGCAAGGTCATGTACAATAGGTTCTCTTCCTTCGCTCTCCCTAACTTTCTTTCTAAACTCTTCACCAAATATACCATCTCTATGGTTCTGTGTAGTTCTTTGAGATAAATGTTCTAGAACGTCAGGTGTTATATTTCCATCAGCCATGTTCATTTCATACTGGTTCAAAATATCTGCATGTTTCATATCTTTCAATGGCATTAAAGCCGCGCTGAAAATACCAGCTATATCTGGTTCACCATTCACTTCCATTGCGTCTACAACTTCTTGGAATTGAGGTTGTAAGTTTATGAACCACCTATCCGGGTTAGCTTTATGACCCCATCTCATTGTAGTTCCATAGTCTGCAGAAACAAAAGTAGGTTTGTTTCCATATTGGTTAGGTTCTGAATGAACTTTAAACAATGTTTCATTTCTATATGTTTTGTTGAAATTTAACCTTTTATTTTCACCGAGTTCAGCCAAAGATTGAACGTTATATGGTCGTAAGTAAAAAGGGTTATTGTATTTGCGTACATTTTCTTTCAGTACTTCCATTCTATGCTGAATATTTTCATCTGGTGTTGGAGTCTTTTGTATGTCGGCAAACATTTTTCGATATTCTTCTACTATGTCAGCCGAATTTTTCTTAGACTCTTGGAAAAATTCCATATTCACCTCATACTCTTGTTGAGGGTCAAGATTTTTCGGCTGTTCCAAATCTTCATCTAGTTCTGTGAAGT